TGATTTCGCCTACCCTTATCACCATCAAAACTTCATCGCTCAGTCACAATTGTTGGGTAGTGTTTCATTTTTCATTTTTTTTTTACCTAATCGGAACGATATGAAATTTAGAGCTGTGTACATCTTAGTGAGACGCATTTAATAAAAATATGTAAAAAATAATTTATAAAATATAAATTGACCAAAATATCCCTATAAATTTTCAGAGGCATTTTGGTCAATTTATATTTTACGAATTATTATTTTTTTTCATGTTTTTATTAGGTGCGCATCACTAAGATGTATACACACTCCAAATTTCAAGTAATTTGGATTTGTATAAACGAAATGAAAATTGAAACACTATCAGACAACTATGACCGTGTGATGAAGTTTGGATGGTGATGCGGGTAGGCACTGTTCATTTTCATCCATAGGCGTTGGGAAGAGTTTTCCATATATATATATATATATATGTGTGTGTGTGTGTGTGTGTGTGTGTTGGGATTAGCCTACTAGCTCATATGAACATATGCGCCAAATGACCCAGATTGAATCTCGGCTGATCTAACAGTCACAACTTCATTTTGTATTATAATTTTAAATTTTTTTATAAATACAAATAACTTGAAATTTTAGACATCAATTTTTCTCACCAAGGCACACCTAATAAAAATAATTCTCAAAAAATAAATTGATCAAAATACCCCTGAAATATTTTAAGGGTATTTTGATCAACTTATTTCTTGCAAATGTTTTTTTTGATATTTTTATTAGATTCTCCTATTTTTAAGAACACATCTCTAATGATAATAACATTGTTCATCTAATGATAATAAAGCCATCCAAAAAAATTGGAAATGAAAAAAATCCTTCTAAAGCCTAGATCTAAGAAACTCACCAAACTGAATGGCCTACGTTAACTGGGCTAAAAAAAATACTTTATAGGTTGTGTTTTCAAATTTTTCTTTCTTTGTGATTGTTCATTAGAATGAAAAGAGTGTATATTTCAAATTTTGGATCAAACAAATGACCATAAGATGGTTTTTTAAAATTGTTGCATCAAATTACTATACAACGGTTGCATGAAATCATTGCTCTATATGTTATCAAACACAATATCTATCAGTATCTAGAACTTATTTAAACCTTTTAAGACAAAATATTCAACTTTCCAGAAGATTTAAAAGCATTCAACTTTCCAAAAAATATATGTTATAAAAACAAACGCTCCCTTAGTGAATTTTTCAGGTGTGCCTTGATTGTTTAGAGCCTCACCCTTATATACTAATTTCGAAATCCCCATTCTTTTCAGATGAGTAATTATCGAGGTTGAGGTCATTGATTTTAAGGTTTTCTGTCCCGAGACAATCTGTTTGATGAGATTTGAGCCACGACTTTTACAAGCCACGACCCTGCCTGAACTTCTTCCTTCCATAAGACACATTGGGCGAAGTATGACTACCTTAATTGCATGGGTCACTACAACATACATCACCATTATGGTGCTCATAACCATAACTACCTTAATAGATTGCGAAAATACACCATACCTTACCGTATAGGGTGCTTAATACTCGTAGACCCATGATCCATTCCAAGCAAGAATGTCCATCATAGCTAGGGCTGGCAATCGCCAAGGCGGATTGACCCAAAAAAAGTAGGGCATGGGCGACAAAATGTGGCTTGAGGGGTAGGCAAGGGCCGGGCCACCACGGCTTGAGGGCCAGGGCAGGCCCAGTTAAAGAAAAATATAAATGATTCTTAAATGGCTATAGATGTTTTTGTAACCTCCTTGTAATAAGGGTACAAGATCTCATAGTATACAATACCTTAAATATAAGTTTTTCATTTAAGCTAGAAGACGCTAAATTGTACTCATCAAGCAGAGAGAGCTAAACCGTACTCATCTCAAGAAGGGAGAGCGATAAGGGATGGAATCAAAGGCTTTTGGCTTCAAAGGCAACCATGGTCATCAATGTTGTTAAAAAAAAAATAACTGGGGAAGAAACTTTTAAGTTTTTGAAAAACGATTCAAACGAACAACAATGGCTTTGAAGTTCACTTTGGATGCCAACCCCTCCAAATGGCAAGGAGAACATTTTAAATCACAAGATAACAGATGTGATTATACGGGGATGTAACCTCACTTGTTGTAGAAGTGATATTGCGATAATCTATATTTTGTATTTTCTTAAATAATGCAGATTTGGTATGATTTTTACGATAGTGTTAAAAAGTGACATATATTTTAAAATAGTGTCACATTTATAATGTCCAAATAAAATAGACAATGTACATTATTACAATCTTACTTCTGCAACTAAAGCAACAACCTTATATAAACTTTTTTCAAAGATTGTAAGAGGGGTCCACCCTCCCAAGATAGGAAGGGAAAGTGACAACAATCAAAGAAAGACTCGATAAGAAGTACTATTTTGGTAAGGCATTTATGAAAGGGTGTGGTTTCTATAAGATCGCAACCTTAAACAATCCAATTAAGGCGCACCTCCAAATTTTATTGTTACATGTAATTTTGGTGAAAAATAATTCTTAGGATTATCTCAAAATCTATTTTTATACCTCATTATGAAATTTTAAACTTAAAAAATGGTTAAAATCAAGTACATCTATAAACATATGAAAATCTGGAAAATGGACGGTCTAGATGATGTATTGCAAAATGCACTATTTTTAAGACTCAAAATCTTGTTTTTTTCATATTCATATAGCTCGATGTTGAGATGATCGATTAAAGGTTTTCTCAACATTAAAACAACCTTGTCAAATAGATTTTTGAGGTGCATCTGTAATTCTACATTTTAAGGTTGCAACCTTATATAAACTTTTTCCTTTATGAAATGTTTTTAGGAGCAAAAATCTAAAGCCCTATGCATTGCATAGAGGGTTAAAGGGGGAAAGCTTTAACTATAGTTTTTAGTGGCCCTTTTATTCTACAAAATTAGAGAAAAACCTTTGAGCATAGAGGGTTAAAGGCGGAAAGCTTTAACTATATGTTTTTCAATATTATTTCAATTTAAACTGATATACAAGATATATAAATTCTAGTTCAAATTGGAGCTATTATTTTCTTATCATATGGTAGAAGTTGCACTTAAAACATTATCAAGTTCATTTTGGGATTTAAAGAAATGAAGATTTAGGGGAAGCTAATTACATATTTAAACCACCTTATTTATAAATCTTCTAAAAATGAATAATGTAAAGCTAATGTAGTTTTAATAAATATGCTGCCAATTTATTAATTAGTATTGGTTTTTCAATACATTACTTTATAACCTTAGATCTTGAAACATTTTCATCCAAGTAACTAACACTTGGTATTTTGGAAAATGTAATAGGTGTATTTCCTATCGAATATATCCGTACATAGGATTCGATATATCTAAGACTTAATATATATCAGTATAAGGGTATTTCGATAATTTATACCATTTATCTAAGATTTGATATATATTTTTGCGATTGGGGGTTTATCAAGGGTTAAGAAAAAACGTAGATTGCTTTGTAATCAGAGAGGCGTGAGGAAGAGAGCTTTTGTAACCGTATTTTTCATTGCCAGTAAAGAAGTTCTCATCTCCCGTGGATGTAGGCACGTTGCCGAATCACGTTCATTCTTGTGTTGTGGTTGGTTGTTTTGTGTTTGTTTCTTCTTTCTAGTTTTCGTGGATTGTTTTTCATTTCTACAAATGAATGGTGAGGAGAGAGATCATGTGGGGATTTTAAACTTTCTCCTTTTCCAAGAGAGAGATTTTGGAAAAGATTTAGACGAATAGAAAGTAGTTGAGTGCAATTAGAAAATCACATTATGCCAACGCAAAACAATACTTCATTATCATAGCTAGACAATATACCATAAATATCCAAGTTTTCTTATATAAATATCCATGGCCCTTGATTGAGTAGAACGACGAAACAAGATCCGTGTAGCCAAAATGATTAGTGTAGCTAAACCCAAATAATTGGGATAATGCTTGGATGATGATGATAATTCTTTCAAATGTATTATATATTTCGGACAAATGCATTTTCACCTTCACCATGAATTAAGATTTTTTTCTTTCTTTCTTTTTTTATGGGGTGGGGTGAGGTGTTTGGGGGAGGGAGGTTTACCATTTCATCTTCTTTGATTTAATTTCAAAAATCCCATCATAAAACACATAATAAAGAGTTGAACTGTATATATTTTGTTTTGATAAATGGAGTAAATGTTAAATAGTTCATACTTTGATGTGGTTTGATCAATTTTCGTTTACTTTTTGAGCAAGTCATCAGGATTGAAGTATTTAACATTACATCTATATATTTTGATCTAATTTCCAATATTATGGGTTTCGAATTTTATCAAATCACACTTATAGTGAGATGTTAAATAATTTAGCTTTAAGGTGTAATTTGATAAATTTCCCTTGTGTTTTTTCTGGGTAAGTGTCAACTTTATCTCAATTAGTTTACCTCCATAAGATTTTCTATAGCATTTAAACTGAACAAACTATAAAGTGGTTGGGGGAATGGGATTGGGGCTTAAGTGGTTGGGGGGCCGACCCCTAAACATATCTCATCATCCATTCCCACCATTAACGTACGAAAAAAAAAAAGAAGCACGGGACATCCATCATATTTCTTCAATGAGAAGGTGGCGATGGACCGGGCTACCTGGTTCAGCCAGGAACAGTGTGGGCTCAGGGCACTAACTTTGGCATGAGGGCCAGGCCAGGGCCCAAAATCCTGGCCCTATCGGCCTGTGCTACGGGCATACCCAATTCAATAACAGGGCCGGGACGGCCCACCTACGCAAGGCCCATGGATGTTCCCATGGTGCACACTGCGCAGAGACTCATGATAAAACTTTGCTTTTACGTGATGCCCATCTCTCTCTCTCTCTGTCTCTCCACCATATGTCTCTCTCTCTCTAAAAAAAATCCAACAGTGCACATACCAGTTTGTCACTCGTGCACCACAAGGACTCAGCATCATACACCAGTAAGGTAAGTTCGTACCTCAAAATCGATCCGTTTTCATGGATGTGTCGCATTAAATGCTCTTATCTTTCCTCCAAGAATTCAAAAGAATAGTGTACGAGAAATCAACAACCTATGTTTAAGCTTCTTTTGAGAATGAATCACCACACTTGCTTGTGAAGTTTAAACTACTCCCCTTTTTTGACCTTCAGTATCAAAGTTTGGTTCAGAAAATAAAGAAGAAAAAAGATTAGTATAAATGGGCCAGCCTAACTTTGTACATGGCCCAACACATTTCTTGTGAATTTGCAGAGTATCATGCAAACTCACACCTCTTTTTTAGGTGAGGGTCAAGCTCATGCCACTGTGTAGCCCCCCCTTTTTCTCTCTCTCTCAACCCACCATTTTTTATTCATTTAATAGACAGGTTGGGGGTTCTTGAAACCAGATTTTGGGAAGAAATATCTCTCACACATGAGGTGATAGCACCACGTTAGACATTTGCTACCTGCACACTGTTGGAGATGAATTTCAATCAATTAAAGGTGGCAATTGACCTGTACCCGATTCAGGACTCAAGGGGTAGACCCGTTCCAGGTCCGGGTATGGGTATGGGTCAAAACATTGGACCCGACGGGTTAGATCAAGGTCAAAATCTTGGATCCGAATGCTATTCAAGTCCGAATCCAAGTTCCGGTAATATTTTTCGGGTGACAATATACGAAATATACTTAAATATAATTAAACACATAAATATTTTAATTTTTGAATTGGATCCAATCGGGATTTGGGTCCCATATCATTTTTCAGGTCCCGACCTAACCCGTTGCCATCCCTACAATCAATGGGCTTTAAGAATCCCAATAGTTGTACTATTTTCTAAAGATGAGACGCCATTCTCTATCTCTCCCCCAACAAATTAGTCAGGAGGTGGTATTAAGGAAGAGCCGACCCCAAATTGTTGGGACAGGATTGATGATGATGAAGACAACGACGACGATTAAAAATCGGCAAAGGATGTCTATAAAGTCGTTGACCATGGAACTTTAATTGATAGTTAAAGATCATAAATCTCACTAGCAAGTGTCCAAGCATAAATTGAAAGTTAAACATAAAATGAAATAATCCTCTCAACTTTGGAAACTAAGGGAGAGAAAGATGGGCACATTCACAAGTACATACAAAATTATAAGCTGACATGGACATCCTTGTTTATAGTTTTTAGTGAGGGTTGACACATTAATGATACGACGCTTTAAAATTTGGAAAAACATTACTTAAAGTCCCACCTCCCCTTTCAACTAATAGATGCTTGGACGTATCATATATCAAAAATTAATTTTGAGATTGGTATTATTAACATTTGTATCGTTTATCCAATGCTAGCATACTTATCGGTGCCTTTGTACACGCATATATGACCACTGGTGCGTGCAGATGTAGAGAGTTCTGACACTTATGCCCTTAACCAAAGCTAACATATCTATCTGTGTCTTTCTGCGTAACATGCATATGTTCAGCGGCATATGCATGTGTAGAGAGAGAGCGTCAAATATGGATAAAAAAAGCAGTGATTTCATGCGACGGTTGTATAGTAATATGATACAACAACTTTCAAAAACTATGTTATAGCTATTTGTTTTTTCTAAATTTTGAAATATACATTCTTTTCATTCTAATGAACGATCACAAAAAAGAAAAATTAAAAACACAACCTAGAAAGTATTTTTTAGCCCAATAAACATAGGTCGTTCATTTTAGAGATGCTTATATCTAGGCCTTAAAAAGATTTTTTTCATTTTCAATTTTTTTGGATGGCTTTATTATCATTAGATGAACAATGTGAAAAAAAAAAAAAAAAGATTTTGAGTTTATAAAAGCTAAGATTTTGAAATTCATCAAATGAATGGTCTAGATTCGTTTTTTGAGGGGATTCATTTTGAACGTATCTAAGATTCAAATTGAACTTTTATTATTATTATTATTGAGATGAAAAGAGAGTGTGTGCAAAATTTTGAATCATACAAATACTACAAATAAGATTGTCTAAAAGTATCGGTACATCATAGTACGATACCTAACTTCTTATGTAACTCAATCACACATGCAAACGCAGGTAATGGTGTGCACAAATGCATACCACTTAGTTCTCGCGCACACACACGTGCGAGCCAAGTGCATGACAACATGCACATTTGCACGTGTGAGACACACACTCAAGAGAGATATAGAGAGGCACGTGTGGATGAAGTTCTCATGATGACCTCCATCAATGAAGCTATAATAAAACAAGCTTAGCTTATACATTTTCCTAAGTTAATGGCTCATCCACTGAAGCATGTACTTTGGCCGTTTCCCCTGTTTCTCTCTCATGTTTCCACATTAAAACAAACATTAGAATACTTGTTTCTCTCTCTAGTTTCCACATTAAAAACAAACATTACGATGAAAAGCAAAGCAACTTGGAAAGCAAAAAAAACCCTTTTCTTGGCATCTAAGCTCCATTGAGCTCAAATAAAAGAAGGCCTTACCTAATGACACGACTTCGAGCTCAGTTTTTTTCATCCAACGAAATGATGTTCCCTTAAACATGGGTTAAAGAAAGCGAAAGTAAAGTAGAATTGGGTGGTGGGGGCACTCTAATTTGTAAGGTCTTTTTTTTTCTTTCTTTTTACCTTCTACTTCTTCTTTTTAAGGTGGATTGTGTAGGTGATCAATTCGAGATAACTAAGTTTCGTGAAAATGCCTCGGCCAATTTTAAATACGGACCCTTCCGATATTTATACACCTCTTGTCTTAAAATCTTGGTACTTCTTCATGAAGTTAGATGTTTTTTCTCTTAACACTTGCAATATAGGTAATAATCTCACTTGAAAACCCCTCTCATCCCATGTTCTTTAAATGGTGTAGGAACGTGCTATGCCTCAAAATATTTGAAATAATAATTTTTGTTTTCATATAAATATAGTATAGCAATGCATGTATTCATGCTCTGTGTAACATAGCGATGACATTGTAACTACCATGTCCGGGCTTGGCATAGGGGTGGCAATGGACCCGACTGGACTCGGGACCTGGTGGGTATACCCGACCTCCCATCCGGGTATGGATCCAAAATTTGGACCCGAATACTATTTAGGTTCGGGTCTTGGTGCAGCCGGACCCGACCCGTACCCCTGGTATATGTTGGCAATCATGTGTCTTTAAGCGTGTCCTATGTGTTCATATTTTCACAATATTGACAACATTTACAGAATTATTGGTAAAAAAAAAAAACTTATAATCATACGGTATATGATGGAAAAAGAGGGTAAAAAAAAAAAACTCATAGTCATTAGGTGACAATGAATCTGACCAGACCTGGGATGCGAAGGGTCCGAATACAGGTCCAAAATTTGGACCCAAATACTATTTCGTATGAGTCTAGCCGGACCCGACCCGTTGCCATCCCTAGCTTGGCATTAGACTTCCTTACACTAGATGTGAATGTTTTTGTCTTATCGTGGGACTTTTTCCTGGGAAAGAGATTCTTCGCTAGACCAATAAAAAGGGCTTTCCCACTTAAAAAGTCTCAATCTCCTAATCAAAGTTAAATTATAGCCAATAAATTGGATTTGTTAGTGTAACAAATGGGTTTCCCCCACGTGGCTTTTTGAATAGAGACATTTAGTTACTCTTATTTGAAGAAAAAGCCCTGGGAATACATGAAAACAAGGATGGGGTTTTTATAACGCCTAGGTTATATGAAAACAAAGTAAAGCCCCATCTCAACTTCTCATTCGAAAAATACTTTGGGCGATTCTAAAATCAATTCCCAATACCAATCTTGAAATTTGAAGCTAAAAAATTAGTGCAAAACTTGCAGATTCATAAATACTCTTTTTTCACGAAATGAACCGTCTAAATAATGTTTTACAATATATATAATTTTTAAAATTTGAAATCCTAATTTTTTTCACAACCATAATAGTCAAGCCGGGATGGTCGATTTGAAAGTTTTACTCATCGATAGAGCTTTACTCAATTTGATAGGGCTTCAGGCCCATCAAACCATTAACCTAAAAACATCTTTGTGGTGTAGAGTCCTAGGAACCCTTACGGAGTAGAAAATGAAGAAAAACATTAAAAACAAGACCTTAGAAGTTAGAACCCCAATTAGTTTGCACATTAATAAATTTTCAAGCGAGAGGGTCAACATCATCTCTAAACCGTAAAATGATGGCCCCTAACGTGGTAGGGGGCCTGGCCCCAAAACTTCGCACGCCATTTCCTTGGTCTGGCGTGCACACCATACTTATAAATCACATAATGCATTCTCTTGGTCTGGACCAGGAATCAGTGGTAACTCGACTACGTTCTTCGCACGAACCAAGGGACTGGTTTGATGAAGAGACTATTTTTTAGTTCTGTTAGAGATTCGGGTGACTCTATCAGAGTATTGCACAATACTCAAACTTGATAGGCCAAATCACTCGAAAACTATCAAATTTACTTTTTTTTATTTTCTAAATATTTTTAAAATTTTAAAAAGTATTTTTCATATTATCCAATGTAGCCACTAGACAAAAGCATGAACTTTGTCTCTCTTACCTAAAAGCATGAAATTTCTCCATCGCCACTTAAAATTACAATGTTCCTCTTCCTCTCTCTAACAACCATTATTCTCGTTCTATGTCCCTACTCAAAACTCAAAAGCATTGCATTGTTTTTTTTTTTGGGTGAGTCAGTGGGAAAAGAGCCCGTAATTTTTTTGGGTGAGTCAGTGGGAAAAGAGCCCTTACTCTTTGTAGGAATTGAGCTGAGCCTAAAACATACCGTTACAAATCATCAAACGTTAATCAATTAAACCCGGGCTCTTTTCCTCAAAAGCATTCCACTTCAAAAGCATTACACTTAATTGCCCCAATCTCTCTCTCCCTCCCTCCCTCCCTCTCTCTTATGTCACTCTCCACATTTCCTTTGCATTTTCCAAAATGGAAGATACATAGTACGATATGCAATGAAATGAAATTCAAAATTTTCACTTGACAATGTGAATTGTGAAAGTAAGAAAATATGATATAACGCCAGTCAAAATAAATGTCCATGACCTCATGGTGTACCTGACGGCCCACGCCTTAAATGACCACAATTAGAAACAATAATGCAGCGGTGACGATTTGCCGATAT